TATCATAGTATAGCCAGGCTACAAGTATCATAGTATAGCCAGGCTACAAGTATCATAGTAAAGCCAGGCTACAGGTATCACAGTATAGCCAGGCTACAGGTATCACAGTATAGCCAGGCTACAAGTATCACAGTATAGCCAGGCTACAGGTATCACAGTATAGCCAGGCTACAAGTATCACAGTATAGCCAGGCTACAGGTATCATAGTATAGCCAGGCTACAGGTATCACAGTATAGCCAGGCTACAGGTATCATAGTATAGCCAGGCTACAAGTATCATAGTATAGCCAGGCTACTGGTATCACAGTATAGCAAGGCCACAGGTATAGTATAGCCAGGCTACAGGTATCACAGTATAGCCAGGCTACAAGTATCGCAGTATAGCCAGCCTACAGGTATCATAGTATAGCCAGGCTACAGGTATCACAGTATAGCCAGGCTACAGGTATCACAGTATAACCAGGCTAGAGGTATCATAGTATAGCCAGGCTACAGGTATCACAGTATAGCCAGGCTACAGGTATCATAGTATAGCCAGGCTACAAGTATCATAGTATAGCAAGGCCACAGGTATAGTATAGCCAGGCTACATGTATCACAGTATAGCCAGGCTACAGGTATCATAGTATAGACAGGCTACAAGTATCATAGTATAGCAAGGCCACAGGTATAGTATAGCCAGGCTACAGGTATCACAGTATAGCCAGGCTACAGGTATCATAGTATAGCCAGGCTACAAGTATCATGGTATAGCAAGGCCACAGGTTTCATAGTATAGCCAGGCTACAAGTATCATAGTATAGCATGGCCACAGGTATAGTATAGCCAGGCTACAAGTATCATAGTATAGCAAGGCTACATGTATCATACTGTGGCCATTCCTCATGTATCATCGTATGGCCAGGCCACAGGTATCATAGTACAGCCAGGCTACAGGTCGCATAGTATAGCCAGGCTACAGGTATCACAGTATAGCCAGGCTACAGGTATCATAGTATAGCCAGGCTGCAAGTATCATAGTATAGCCAGGCTACAGGTATCACAGTATAGCCAGGCCACAGGTATAGTATAGCCAGGCTACAGGTATCACAGTATAGCCAGGCTACAGGTATCACAGTATAGCCAGGCTACAAGTATCACAGTATAGCCAGGCTACAAGTATCACAGTATAGCAAGGCCACAGGTATAGTATAGCCAGGCTACAAGTATCATAGTATAGCCAGGCTACAAGTATCATAGTATAGCCAGGCTACAGGTATCACAGTATAGCCAGGCTACAGGTATCACAGTATAGCCAGGCTACAGGTATCATAGTATCGCCAGGCTACAGGTATCACAGTATAGCCAGGCTACAGGTATCATAGTATAGCCAGGCTACAAGTATCATAGTATAGCCAGGCTACAGGTATCATAGTATAGCCAGGCTACAGGTATCACAGTATAGCCAGGCTACAAGTATCATAGTATAGCCAGGCTACAAGTATCATAGTATAGCCAGGCTACAGGTATCATAGTAAAGCCAGGCTACAGGTATCACAGTATAGCCAGGCTACAGGTATCACAGTATAGCCAGGCTACAAGTATCACAGTATAGCCAGGGCTACAGGTATCACAGTATAGCCAGGCTACAAGTATCACAGGTATAGCCAGGGCTACAGGTATCATAGTATAGCCGGGCTACAGGTATCACAGTATAGCCAGGCTACAGGTATCATAGTATAGCCAGGCTACAAGTATCATAGTATAGCCAGGCTACTGGTATCACAGTATAGCAAGGCCACAGGTATAGTATAGCCAGGCTACAGGTATCACAGTATAGCCAGGCTACAAGTATCACAGTATAGCCAGGCTACAGGTATCATAGTATAGCCAGGCTACAGGTATCACAGTATAGCCAGGCTACAGGTATCACAGTATAACCAGGCTAGAGGTATCATAGTATAGCCAGGCTACAGGTATCACAGTATAGCCAGGCTACAGGTATCATAGTATAGCCAGGCTACAAGTATCATAGTATAGCAAGGCCACAGGTATAGTATAGCCAGGCTACATGTATCACAGTATAGCCAGGCTACAGGTATCATAGTATAGCCAGGCTACAAGTATCATAGTATAGCAAGGCCACAGGTATAGTATAGCCAGGCTACAGGTATCACAGTATAGCCAGGCTACAGGTATCATAGTATAGCCAGGCTACAAGTATCATGGTATAGCAAGGCCACAGGTTTCATAGTATAGCCAGGCTACAAGTATCATAGTATAGCATGGCCACAGGTATAGTATAGCCAGGCTACAAGTATCATAGTATAGCAAGGCTACATGTATCATACTGTGGCCATTCCTCATGTATCATCGTATGGCCAGGCCACAGGTATCATAGTACAGCCAGGCTACTGGTGTCATAGTATAGTAAGGCTACAGGTATAATAGTATACCATGTGCCCCTAATACACATCTATATTATTCAGACTATAGTGTGGCCTGGCCGTAAATTGTGATACCTATGGTCTAGCCATTCGATGATACCTCTGGCGTGGCCATAGTATGATACCTGTAACCTGGCTATACTGTGTTACCTGTAACCTGGCTATACTGTGACACCTGTAGCATGGCTATACTATGACACCTTCAGACTGGCTATACTTTGATACCTGTAGCCTGGCCACCCTATGACACCTGTAGCCTGGCTATACGATGATACCTGTGGCCTGGCTATACTAATATACTTATAGCCTGGCTATACTAATATACTTATAGCCTGACTATACTATTATACCTGTAGCCTGTCTATACTATGATACATGTAGCCTGGCTATAGTGTCATACCTGTAGCATGGCTATACTATGATACCTGATGACTTTATATCTCCTAATTAGGACTTGGTATCTCCTAATTAGGACTTATTATCTCTTAATTAGTACTTGCACTGTTTCAAATATAGAAGTTTTATATTGTCGTTCTCTATTTCGCTCTATAAATTTCCATTTGCGCGCGCAGATTTCATTACACAAACGGACGACTTGAGGGTTTTAACTATGATATATTAAGTCCTGATTAGGAGATATCGGGTCCTAATTAGGAGATAATATTTTTTCTATGTGACCCTAATCCGCTTCTATACAATAATGTATTAATGATACAAATTATCTATTTTTTTGGACGATAAAATCATCTTTTCAACAAGGAAATGAATCGACGTCAATAATGCTACGATGTTTTATAGTCTTATAAACTACAAACTTGTTATAGACTCACACACAGTTTCAGCGCTCCAGTCTTGATCGTTTGAAACGAAATCCAAATTGGACACTTGATGATTTACAAATATGTGATCAATTAAAGTTTTAGAAATAGATTTGGCGAGTTTTGCAGTCTGTGGCGATGATTGTGTTCTATTGATGATTCGTGTATCTGGACAAATCAGTTCATTTCATACAAAACGGTGTACATAAGGTTGGCTATGACTGACAAAGAGTCATCTGGATCATTGTATTAGCCCAAGTCCATAATACTAGTATACACATGGAACTTCCAGAAGAAAAGTAATGCCTCATTACCTGATGGAAGATTGAATATTTGACTACAGAAACCACAAAATCTAGGCAATATGTCAATTTGCATGATCTGTACGTGAGAAATACCAACACTGTTGATTTTGTGGAAAAGCAGTTCACTGAATAAGTATTGTCCTGGCAGGACGCATGATGAGGTATTGCTGGATCTCGCTGTCTGTGTAGGCCCCTTGCAAACAGCACAGGTCTTTGACATCAGTATCACGTGTATATGGGTGACAGCCTCCACCAGTGAGGTGAGGTGAAATAGGGTTTAGCGTCGTAATATTTCGCTCATATGACGACGTGCATGCGTGTGTATGTGTGGCTGCTTGTACTAGCCCAGACTTAAGTTGGTTTTATAGTGCTAGCTCACTGAAATACCTTCCCGTAGTTAAGCATGAATACCCCACTCAGACTCATTATACTGACTCCGAGCCGACCTGTCCTTGTTGTACCCAATAATGCCGAGCGCCAGGCAGGGACCAACAAGTACCATATTTTAAAGTCTTTTGGTATGACGCGGTCGGGGATCGAACCCGCCACCTTCCGCTCTTCCGCGAACGCTCTAACCACTACACAACGGAGGTGATCAAGAATCAAGAACATTATTCAGATAATCTTGTCTTTATTAAAAAAGGTATTACCCCCGACCGACCCGTGTTCAGAATTTAGTGGCTACGTGAAAAACAAATATATATATATATATAAATAATGCCCTGATGAGTGTTTCGGGTAAATGAATATCGCACGTTCACCTCCTCACACATTGACTTCATGGCCATCATAAACAATGAACATAAATGTAATTGCAGTAATTTTTATTATAACAAGCATTTTCTGGATACACCAGAATCTTGATCTTTTCTCAAATCTCTTCAGATGGAGGTCATCCTGTTTGAAAAGTGGACTCCGTTATTGAGGATCTGGAATGAGAAAAGAACAATAGACAAAACCCCGAGTGAGTGAGTTTAGCTTCAGGCCGCTTTTAGCAATATTCCAGCAATAGCTGGAATTGGCTTCACACATTGTACCCATGTGGATAATCGAAACCGAGCATTCGGTGTGACACTTTAACCACATTTTAGCAACGGACGAATCAGAGCGGACGATTTTACCACTAAGCTACCCCACCACCCGACACAAACATGAATCGGGAAGGTAAGAAATGAAGCGGGTATAGTGTGTATACATGTACTCGTCGGTGCCCGTATCGGTTTGAGGGCGCTAGCTGACTGAGATACAATGCCGCAGTGTGAAATGATTAACCCACTTGGAAACATTACAGAGTCCATGTATATTCCCTTAAAACATTTAGAAAGTGGTCAAATGTAACACATGATATATTTGGAATTACACCTTCTCAGTAAAGTACAGATTCTAGTACTTTTGTTGGGTTGGGTCCCATCCACACTCTCAGTCATTCACCTAATCGCCAGCACACAAGAGTGAGAGTGTGGTTTCGAATCGCTGATGGGACTCAACCCAACAAATATACTATGATCTGCTCTTCACTGAAGAAGTGTCATCCCAATTAAAACGTGTTACAAGAAGTATTGTATTTTTCACATCTTTGATCTATGATACATCAACATACATACATACAAATACTTGTATAGCGCCAATATCCGTAATCCGCTCAAAGGCGCTCTGGCTCTAAGATGGTCTAGATATCACATAGAGTTCAAATACTTCAGCAAAGAGACACGTCTTCAGATTTGATTTAAAAACAGCTAAGTCTGGTTGTGTTCTGAGGTGAGATGGAAGATTGTTCCAGAGATGAGGGCCAGTCGACCTGTCACCATATGTTTTTGTCCTAGTCAGAGGAATTGTCAAAAAAAACTGGTCATTTGATCGGAGGGAACGTACAGGAGTATAACGTGGATCAGAGCACAGAGGTACTGAGGAGCTAGACCATGTAAACTTTTGAAAACAAGGAGTAGAGTTTTATATTTTATGCGACATTGGTATGAAACCACAGACCTGGATCTTTCCTAGACAGAGGACCAAAGCCAGAAACAGTTGGAAAACACGCTGACTTGTACGGAATACTCACTTTTCAAACAACACATTCCCGAATCACAATGTTGCCATGACATCACTTCAGCGCCCACAGTACAGCTTTCTTTGCACATCCCATTGGTCATTCGACAGTGGAACACTAGAACAAGGTGTACAAGACACTTCACTTCTACACTCCCTGCGTTGTATTGAAACTTTACCAGTGTAACAGCTGGGGGTTAAATGACTCAGCGTCTGTTTCGCTTGAGAGGATTGGTAATCAATTCTTTAAAGGGCATTTAGAGTGAGTGAGTTTTGTTTTACGCCGCACTCCTCAATATTAAAGGTATATGGCGGTGGACAAGACAATCCAGTGATTTACAGCATGAGCATCTTTCTGCGTAATTGGGAGCCGATGACATGTGTCAACCAAGTCGGCGAGCTTGACCGCCCGAGCCCGTTAGTCGTCTCTTACGACAAGCATTGGTTACTGAAGATCAATATTCTAACCCGGACTTTCACGGGTAGAAGGGCATTTAGAAGTGGAATACATAGCAAGATGTATGGATGTCAACTTTATTGTGAATAACACGACGTTTCGGAGTGTATGCTTGCGCCTTCATCAGGTGAGCATCCATAAATCTTGCTTTTCTTAGGCTTAGTGATGTTGGTCATGTCAGCTGTCGTGTACCATCAGGTCCTTGAGTAGATATCTACACAATTAACATTGCACTCGGAATGACACGTGGTTATCGTTCCTGCTGTTTGGTAATTTCATTTACACTGGGTATATACATTTAAGGACATATTTGTTTTTTCTTGGCATTAGAGAACTTGAAACGTACATGACACACTGGAGTCCAAATCAAAATATACATTGCATTTGTATTTCCCTCAGTATCCTTTCGCCTTTCTGCACGGAAACACGACTGCTGCTGTAAAACGTGACTATGTGGGTACCATTGATTGCCAGATATACAGTTGATGTCTAAAGAGCAAGAGGGTTTGAACCCGGATCTTCAACGTGACAAATGACCAATTTAACCTCTAGGCTACTCCACCGCTCCTCGATAGAAACAAACGTATTCTATCAATATATGTAATTAAGTGACGAACGTTAAACAATACAAACCCTCAAAGCAACATTTCAGTCCTTGTCCACTACAGGTATGCCAGGATACCTCCTGTTCTTCATCGCCACAGGTATCCTTGCATGTACCTTCACATGCACTGCTTCTTGCTGACAACAGATAAACAGCCGCAACATAAAATCTGAACACATAAAACCTTTTTACCCTTTAGTTTCACGGGGTGAAATAAATAACACGTTCGACTGGTAACTATACACAAAGAACTTAATTAAGCACCCCTGTATTTTGGCAATGAGGTTTTCAATACATACATAAAACTACTCGTGGTCACCACTATCGAAAAACGTGTTTTTCTGACCGGTATGATCCTTGAGTCATAAAAAAAGACAAAATGATTGGAATCCATGTTGATTTTATGATGATAATTGCTCATTTAAATACAAACACATACTGATTTTCATACAAAACCATGTCTATACAAGTATGGTTCTGGGATGTTTCATGTTGAATTTATCGGTGAATGTGAACATTGAAAATGTCATTTTATGTGTCTTTCACGATTCAAGGTCAATAACGAGTGCAACCTCCATGTGCCTGTATGACAGCCAGCACTCTCCTCCTCATAACCCCTGTCAGCCTCTGGGTCCTCTGAAGGGGCAGACAATCTACGCCATTCTTCGTGTAAAGCAGCTTCCAATTGGGCCCGGTTCTGTACAGGAGGTTCCCTTTGTTGCACATGACGACCAGTTATGCCCCAGATATGCTCCAAAGGGTTCAGATCGGGGCTCATTCAATCGTGAGATACGTCAGGGGGTGCTTAACTAAGTTCTGTGTGTGTTTATATACCAAGTATTGAGAAGTATACTATGTATGTAACATTAACATTAACGGTGGAATAATCGTCGTTCTATGCAATGATCACGCTACCTTAATGCCTGCCACGCCATGTAGTTTAAGGTTAAATGAGTCACTTATTATCCGTTAAGTAAGCGACTATCCTAAGTGTCATATAGCGATAGGAGGACCTCTCTACCAATGTCTTATACCTATCAACCAATGTCTTATACCTATTTACCTATCTACCAATGTCTTATACCTATCTACCAATGTCTTATACCTATCTACCAATGTCTTATACCTATCTACCAATGTCTTGTACCTATCTACCAATGTCTTATACCTATCTACCAATATCTTATACCTATCTACCAATGTGTTATACCTATCTACCAATGTCTTGTACCTATCTACCAATGTCTTATACCTATCTACCAATGTCTTGTACCTATCTACCAATGTCTTGTACCTATCTACCAATGTCTTATACCTATCTACCAATGTCTTATATAGATTTGCTTTCGTGTATACCAGGAGTTGACTTGAGCCGTGACAACGCAATTTTCTCTCATGATAATTTTTGTCACAGATCGCAACCAAGTATTATACCTCTACGAAGCTCCTTATTTTGAAGTATATGTAGAGATTTCCTGCGATCTAACCTAATCCTGCCTAAGTCACGTGCTTGATTTGAACTGACCAAGATCCTTTGAGCAGACTAAGGGTAAAATAACTGCGACAGTAGAAACGATTTATTCCCCAATAAAATTGCTCGTTACAAGTGCGGAAATATTCATATCAAGGTTCCTGCAACATATAATATTAATGTAAAAAGCTACTGAAAATCACTCGAATGTTATCAGGTGTTATTCATACAAATCTTCGAAAACGGAAGTATTTCCCGGTATGAATACGCAATGCAATTCAGGAAGTGGTCAAATGTAACACATGTCATATTTGGGATTACACCTTCTCAATAAAGTAGTACTTTTGGGGGGTTGAGTCCCATCCCGGATTCGAACCCAGACCCTCAGAGTCAGGCACCTAATCGCCAACACATAGTACGTATTTCCAGGTGTCGTCTCATGTCACAGAATGGTAAACCACAGTTATCGTCCAAGAAACGACCAGGCATATTATTTTTTAAAAACAGTTTGAAATAAATTTGGAATATTGTAAATCAATAAATGTTGTTGTTTTGTATAAGAAATAGGTACGAAAACATGATGACATCTTAAAACTGGAAACAATCGTCACTATTTTCACTTCCTCTTTGCTTAATTTGGACGTTATGAATGTGTAATCATATATTTTCATTGAAACTAACTTACTTACGTTGTAATTGTGATTAACAGTTCCAGTAACAGTGATAGTCTAAAGATTGAGACAAATATTCAGATTTCTATGATTGTGTTCTTATAGAAACACATTCTATCGACAATGGTAGGATCTCATTAAACTTTAAAACTATGTCATTCATGTGAACACATGTTAGATATTTTCTCATTGCTATCTGGGCCCAGGAAAATCCGTCATCAACACGGGTTTTAATTCCGTGATAGCAGTTTCTTCCTTTTTATGGGTTAGCATCGATGACTAAAGTAATGGCATAAATCATGCTAGTATATCATGCTGGAAACAAAGGTACTGTAAACCTAATAAAGGTGAGGTTGCCAGTGGTGTGTGGCTTAGTTTTAATTCAAACTAATATATTCACCATTGTGTAATTGTGTGACTTCTTTAGCACGGAAGCTATGATTGTGTACCTTGTAACATGTAACATGTTTATTTGTTGAAATGCGATGTATAACATGCTTGCAAGAACTTTACATTGTAAAATGAAACAATTGTATTTGTTGAAATGTGATCCACAACATGCATATGGGAAATAAAAATATGTGAAAACATTGTGTACAAGATGAGATTTTCAATGCATGCATTGTTAAATCTATATATATTTTTTTAGATATGACTGATCTTGAGAAGTTTTGTTTCATGTTTATAGATGCTAATATCTGTTTTTTTTGTTTTTTGTTTGTTTGTTTTGTTTTGTTGTTTTTTTGTTTGTTTGTTTGTTTGTTTTTGTTGTTTTTTTCTGGGGGGGGGGGGGTATATTTGCCAAAATTCGCCATTTAATACTAAACCGTAGAAAGCATCTTTTATATGGATAATATATAACGTTTATGGTATTTTATGACAACTTGTGTCTCATAACTCTTAAAAATGGTTCGGTACGAATATTTAATGACTATATTTACTGTTTGTTATTTCCATGTCTGTACAGAAGTGAGACATTAATAGACTATTGTCTGTCTGTCTGTCTGCGTACGTAAACTCCTGCCACACAATGGACAGCTGAAATCAGTTGAACATTGTTTGCCGGTGATAAGGTCCAATTATCTGACTGGTTCGCGTGATAAAGAAACTATTTTGCACTTTTTGATAACTGCACTTGGTGCGCCATCATGAGTGGGTGGATTATTAGAACAATGTTAGTAAGAATATACTAAATCATGGGACCTACGAGTCTACGCAGAGAGAAAAACTAGAAAGTGTTTGGACTCGTAAAACCAGATGTCTCCCCCCTTCACCCAATTCAAAGTTGAGACTCCAAACGCTTCATTTGATTCCCTCAATTTCAAAATCTCTAAGTATGAAAAAACATATTATTGATAGTATCTTATTATGTTTGTAAAGTCTTCATTTAATATTTATATATTCAATTGAACTTAATTGCTTATCAACAAATCAACAACTCCCCAGTTATATTGTACAAAACATTCAGAATTGTAAATGATTCTATTTCGAAATGCATGAATGAATCTGTTGTTTTTCAGTCACGGAGTTGTCTTTAGTCAATAAAAATTTCAACAAATGCTGAAATCAAATCACATTTCATCACATTCAGTTATGGATGTAACTTTTTCACTGGAATCTAATCAAGAACACGATAGGTTACATCATGGAAACTGTAGTAGCATGGAAAAACACCAGATCTTCGGTATGCTGTATCTCTCTCATAAATATGATCAATAAGTGATACAGAAAAAAAATTGAAAGAAAAGTTCAAACCACAAAAGGCACATCTACATGATATGGAGAGGCAGTATAGCAGTGAAGATGGGTCCGTTAGTTTCAGAATCATGCCCCGGAAACGAACTTTACCCTTTAAAAAGACAAAGTCCAAAATGTTGCCATGAAAACAGAATAAGGTAAAATTGAAAAAAAAACCTCAACCCTCCAAAAAGCACATCTACATGATAAGGAGAGGCAGTATACCAAATTTGGTGAAGATTGTTCAAGTAGTTTTAGAGTTATGTCCCGGAACCAATGGGAACGCCAACGCCAACGCCAACGCCAACGCCAACGCCAACGCCAACGCCAACGCCGAAGGAAACTCAATCCAAAACAGTATTGGGAGTGTGACACAACAAGAAGTAACACACCTTTTGTTGGAAAGAAGTCTCTGGTTGGTATGGTGATTTGGGGTATACCGTTGTTGGTCAGTTCTGAAAGAAAGAGAGAGTAATTGTTATTACACTGTTTCTCATTGCGACAAATACAATCGTTCAGAAATATTGAAATGAGAGAGCAGCTATATGACGGAGGTCTGTAAATTATCGTCTCTGGATCAGACAATCCAGTGATGATCTACAATGAAGATCTACGCAACTTGTATGCGATAACATGTATCAAACAAGCCATGAGTCTTGTATCATTAAATTGTTGACATCAATTTGTCATATGTTATATTTGGGATTACACTTTCTTAGTAAAGTACAGATTCTAGTCCTTTTGTTGGGTTGAGTCCCAACCGGGATTCGAACCCACACCCTCAGAGTCAGGTACCTAATCCCCAGCACACAAAGTCAGCAGCCTAATCCGCTCAGCCACCCTGGAAGTGATGTTTCGGAGCAAACAGCACCTTGACAACCTATCGGTCAGATCGCTGGAACAATTGTTTTATTTAATAAGGAAGCTACATTGCATTGTCAAAATAAAGACATGCAATCAGATGTCACAATATACTTCCAAAAGTTTTGTATTCGGAAAAACACCACAACCCACAGAGTTCCACAAGCAGTGATATCTAAAATGGTGACAGGTATCAGCTGCACACATTGTCACAAACACCAACTTCATTAATAATATCTCTATATTTGAAAATCATTGTGAGAATTTTCCAATGAATTCTTAAGACCCGTGAATCTGCGAACCACATCACCAAAATATACAGTAAAACCTGTCTAAACCGGCACCCCACGGGACCGAAATAAAATGCCGGTTTAGACAGGGTGTCGGACTAGACAGGTGCCGGTGTTGGCAGGTTTCACTATATATTCATAATGTGTAACAACATAACTATATAATTATAGTTTCCTACTTTCAACAGTAGTGTTCGTCAATGGTGATACGATATGATGTGTGAAAAGAACCAAAGGTAACATACGTACCTTGCAGCTGCGCGTATCCCAACACTGAAAGTGAACCACACAGTCGTTAACACTATGCACTGTTCAATATGTTCCTTGACTATGTGTTCTATGTTTGGTTCTGAGGATACTACGATATCTTCTGATCTACGTCTACCCATATTAAATTTTGTGAAGGTAACATGAGCTCAATGTGGATATGACGTCACTGTCAAGGTTATTGCACTTATAAACATAAATATATATTACACACACACACACACGGACACATAAATATATAAGTTCCCATCAAACGTTTAGGCTCACTATTGTTAGTATAGCCACTTACTTCAGGCAACTGTTCTAAAATAGATTTTGCACAATATGCCATACTCTTTAAAGGTACTGTTTACACATGACCTGATGTATTGTGAAACACATTCGTACAGTTAAAATTATTATTGTCATGAGTTCAAGAAATGATAACACTGAGTGAAAATTGGCGAATTCTTAACAAGACTTTACACCAAAACGCAGCTGTTCACATGCATGATATTTACACATGCTTTTTACCAATTCGATGCATTATCCTCGTGCAATTCATCTGCATAAGTTTTGCATTGGTTCACCCAAGTTAGTGGAGAAAGCTTTCTTCGATGTAACCATATACATAACAAATAGTGAGTGTTTTCAGTGAATCTAAACTGTTTCCAGTGGGTGCAAAACAAGGAATCAGACGACCAAAGACAGAAATAGGTGGAAAACTCTGTTTTCTCTGGAATACTCACTTTTAAAACAGCATTGTTTTCCCGATGCACACTGGTGAAATGTCTCTACTTCATTACCGTCAGCACAGCTTTCCTTGCACATTCCATTGCTCTCCCGACAGCCTTGTACTAGAATAAATTTTAATCAGATATAACATTTTTCAATCCTTCAAAATCTATAAATTGAAGAATATTTGTCTGTGCAGTGAGGAACCATACTTCAAGTCCGTCTTATTCATTCACATTTATCCTTGTTGCTTATCTTTATAACGAACATAACGAACAAATAACAAGGTGGTAACGGAACAATATTTGTGCTGGGTTCAAGTTATACCCCAAAAAATTAAATATGGACATAAACTGAAGATATTTAAATTTTACAGCAGTTAAATGTTGTGTAAAGATCAACAACATATTTTAGGGGGTTAAATTAAGCACTAGATAATATTTTAAATACAGAATGAAAGTAGGACATGATTTAGTATCATGTTAATTGGTTGAAACTATAATGTCAGTTTCTGTTACAAACCGCTCTGGATTCCCACAACTGGAGCTGTAAAGATAAACATTGATGATCAGGTTTGACGTATCAGAAACATTGTTGACATTCTTCTGCATTGTTTGCTGTTTGAGACATATCATAATAAAATCAGAGCAATCAAGCTCCAATAAATTTTCTTTAAACCACACATTTTTCCATTTTAAATGTTTATAAAGGTGTGTATATATGTTTATATTAAATACTTTATTTATACTGACAAGAAATCTATTTGAACAAATAACACGTGTATTATTGATATGTATGCCCTTTAAAGTGTATCTATATTTGTAAACAAATGTATGTATGTTGTATATGGGCCTGTGGCCTACATACGGAATAAAAATACTTGACTTGACATATCATGACGGCAAACAAATAGCCACATCTTTGCCAGACAAACCAGTTGTTGAAACGTATGAGAACGTCCAAGCTGTACAGTTTATGATTGGTTTGTTTGTTTGTTGTTTTACGCCGCACTCAGCAATATTCCAGCTGTATGGAGGCGGTTTGTAAATAATAGAGTCTGGACCAGAGAATCCAGTGATCAACATCATGAGAATCGATCTACACAACTGGGAACCGGTGACATGTGTCAACCAAGTCAGCGAGCCTGACCACCCGATCTCGTTTGTCGCCTCTTACGACAAGCATGGGTTACTGAAGACCAATTCTAACCCAGGTGTTCACGGTTTTTCAGTTTATGAACGTCACCGGGGCTAAGCATGTGATCGTTTCCAGGCGATCACGGCAAGCATTGGTTGCTTGTGGTCAGTTATGACTAAATTAATGCAAAAGAATCTGTAGAAGGTTCATTCTTATTTGTTTCACTGTAGACGATTTTCGATGGATGACATCTGACGAAGAGATCGAGTAAGGATGCGTTATAACACAAGCCAGAGGCAATATAACGTCAGTGGCCGCTTGAAACTGATAATCACAACCATTGGGATTCTTCACCGCTTCAATGAGAATATGTTCAACAGAACTGCTAATGTATTTATCCATTCATCCATGAAAATATACACAGGTGTTTGTCATCGTATCGCTGTGACCCGTGAAGATCCGGGGTAGAATAGGTCTTCAGCAACCCATGCTTGCCACAAAAGGCGACTATGCTTGTCGTAAGAGGCGACTAACGGGATCGGGTGGTCAGGTTCGCTGTCTTGGTTCACACATGTCATCGGTTCCCAATTGCGCAGATCGATGCTCGTGCCGTAAATCACTGGATTGTCTGGTCCAGACTCGATTATTTCCACACCGCCGCGATATAGCTGGAATAGTGCTGAGTGCGGCGTAAAACTACACTATTACACAATACCGTTATAGGGCGTGGAACTGGTATAACAGTATATTGAGTGAAGGCACTTTTGAATATTAGTGAGTGAGTTAAGGTTCGACAATGACAATATATAACAATATATACTTTAATAATAAATAAAAGTTCCTTCGTAAAATCTGTCAACAAAGGACAGACAAACAAGTAGGTTATTACAGATAGAAAGTTAAAACATGTAAGCATTAAAACACTAGTTACAATACAGGACAATGCAATACAGACCGCCGCCATATAGCCGGAATATTGCTGAGTGCGGCGTGAAACTCAACTCACTCACTCGTATGGCTGTTGCTTAGATTGATGCTAATGACGTCTATGATTATCTGCTCCAGACTCAGATTTTCACGGGCAGCGGTCACGTGGCTGGGATATTACTGAGTGCGTTGTTCAAAAACAAACAACCAAACACACAGGTGCTCGATCGATCTGTACAGAACCATTTCTTTGTTGTTTTACGTCGCACTCAGCAAAATTCCAGCTATATTGCAGCGGTCTGTAAATAATCGACTCTGGATCCAACAGTCCAGTGATGACTAAGTGAACCAAGACAATCCAGTGATCAACAGCATTAGCATTGATCTACGCAGCTGGGAACCGATGACATGTGTCAACCAAGTCAACGAGTCTGACCACCCGATCCCGTTAGTCGTCTCTTACGACAAGCATGGGTTGCAGGAGACCAGTTCTAATCTTATATCTCTGTGCAGTAAGAGGTCATGCTATATGAGTTTCGTTACCTTAGATGTTAGTGTCATTATTATTCACTAAAACATTATTACATGACTGGATACTAGTAATTAACCGAACCTATTGCTTTGGCGTCTCTTCGCAGGCGTAGGATTCCACCTGAAGCACAACAGACGTTGTTTGAAGACATGATTGAAAACACATTCTAAACAATGGAACAGATTGTTACACTTAAAGGTTCATTGACTGAACTGACTGACTGACTGAGTTTAGTATTACGCCGCTTTTAGCAATATTCCAGCATTATCACGGCGAGGGACACCAGAAATGAGCTTCACACATTGTACCCATGTTTGGAATCGAACCCGGACCTTAGGCGTGACGAGCGAACGCTTTAGCCACTAGGCTACCCCACCGCCCCTCATTGACTGAACAAAACGTACCTCTTTAATATCATTCCAATCTAACATACAGTATGACCAGAAATTATTGAGAATTTTAGGAATATGTTTAATTTGATTTCTAGTATAAACAACCTTGACCAGCTATCAAGTGCTTGGTTTCATTCAAGAGAGACAACTCTGTTAATCCTTTTTCATTAGTTTGTGAAGATTTATCCCCCTTTGTTTACTTGCCAGCAGACGACATATTCAGTGATCCTCAGTATGGATGATTTAGAGAAAAGGAAGTTGATTTTAGAGTATTATAACAAGGACATAGATCAGCTAAAGTGATTTCAAGTAGAACAGGCATCCCTTTGTCCACTGTTTATCGTGTTTTGAAAAATATTGCAAATGGATATGGCATTGAGCACAAGGGAGGCGCAGGTAGGCCCAGAAAATTGACTGTCGGTGACAGGAGGCGGCTTGGTATTTTTGTTTCTAAAAACAAACGAATGTGTTTAGAAAACTTAAGGCTGGATATGATTGATAGAGGAACTGTGACTGTCTTTAAGGAGACAATTAGAACTGAGCTGCATGCAATGGGTTGGCAGAAAAGTCGAGGAATTTCATCACCGATCATGAAACCTGAACAAAAGGAGCGAAGGTTGAACTGGTGCTTACAGCATAGAAATTTTAACTGGGACAATGTGATTTTCTCAGATGAAAGTTCTGTGTGTCCGTTTCCTAATACACTGAAATTCTGGACCAAACAAACTGAAAAACCTTTGTATCAGCACCCAAAGTACAGTGCGAAATTTAACGTGTGGGGTGGCATATCTGTGTTAGGGGCAACGCCCCTCTGTGTATATGAAGGGAATATGAACAGTGAACGGTACACAGATATTCTCGAGGGACATTTACTTCCATCTGCTCACGTGTTCCATGGAAATGTTTGGATTTTCCAGCAGGACAACGACCCAAAACATCGTTCAAAGCATTCACAGGCCTGGTTTCGGACCCAAAATATGACATTATTAGATTGGCCAAGGTATAGCCCTGACCTAAATCCAATAGAAAATGTTTGGGGACTTATGAAGGAAAGTGTCAATAAGAAAAATCTGACAAATATTGCTGAAATGAAAGAAGAGGTGGTCCGATATTGGGACAGCATGGACCACGACTTTCTAACTTCTTTGATCAGTAGTATGCCCCGCCGCTTTGAAGCCTGCATTGCTGCCCATGGTGACTTGACAAAATACTACCTGTTCACCTGTCTTTGAATCTGGAGTTATGTTCTGCTAATGTTCACATTTAATACGTGAGTAATGAGTGAAAAAAAATAAAACATTACAATCTTTAAATTCTCAATAATTTCTGGTTGTACTGTACATGGATAGTCCACTGAAATTCCTTTTCCGTCAAAAGCCAAGCTTAGCGTATGATTCTACTGATCTTAAAATTAACGACGGAATTCTTGTATACATGATTGTTTTTCTATAGTTTTTGTTCAAGAGAAATATGTCTCTGTTCATCTAGAATCGAGGCACTATTGCGACCATTAATGTCGACATTTGGGTGGTTTACTTCTTAAATAGCCGAGGTAGAAATTCGAGACTAATCTATTAGTCCATGATATGAAAGGATATGAAAGTATGCAAGAAGCGCATTACAATGCAAATCTATTTTTAGGGTTCCAATACTCACTGACTGACTGAGTTTGGTTTTACGCCGCTTTTAGCAATATTCCAGCAACATCACGCCGGTGGACACCAGAAATGGGCTTCACACATTGTACCCAGGTGGGGGGCTCGAACCCGGGTCTTCGGCGTGACGAGCCAACGCTTTAACCACTAGACTACCCCACCGCCCCTTAACTGATGATGAATACTTTTACATTGATCACTGTTGATGGGATCCCTTGATTCAAATTACTAGTGAGGCAGGCCATTATGATACCATGACCCATTGTACCCAGGTGGGGGGCTCGAACCCGGGTCTTCGGCGTTCCAATACTAAAAGACTAGAGTCCTGTTATGATTATTGTTGTGATTAATATTATATATTACTCCACAACCACTGACCAGAATCTCCAAAACGATAATCGCATGCATCTGGATCAATGTGACGCATATATACAATTCCCAAGTTCGTATATTTCAAAATTAATTGATTATACTCAATTTTAACAGCAGTAATCTCCGAAACAAATCGTCCTGTGATTGCCAAATGCCAGCTCAATTGCACCTATTGGCAGCCATATTGATTTCATGTTTTGTCTTTGCAGTTTAGCATTTTTCACATTTTGTCCAAACTCTTGCCCTAGGTAACTAATTGGAGAAAGGCTTCCAAACTTCTCGCTATCCTGTTATTTCCAATGCTACTCCTAGTGTTAGTAGTAGTAGTAGTAGTAGTAGTAGGAGGAGGAGGAGGAGGAGGAGGAGGAGGAGGAGTACCTGCTCTTCGAGGGAGGCCACCTCCAAGAAGCACTCGACCTGGAACATAAGTGATCGAAGTTTGTGAAGTATTCAGCGATACCGTTAAGATATCAGCATAGGGAATACTGCCATTGTGAATCCATCCTCTTTACTAGCTATCAAATTATTTTGGATTTGTTTGTGAGGAAATAGAATCTCAATAGAGCACCGTGTGTACCTTTTAAGTACATCAGGTCCTGTATGTGGTATGCATAATTGGGCAATATACCCTATCAATGAAAACAAATTGTGCTTTACAAATTGTGCTTTTCAGATTGTGCTTCACTTTACGTTTAGGGTCTGTAGAAACTGGTAATGAGTAAGCATGATTTCACGGAGCAATTTGGAATATTCCATCCCGAATGTTTTGCATAAATTGTACACATGTAAGGAATCGACCCCGAGCCTTTGGCGTGACGAGCGAACACTTTCTCCACAAGGCTATCCCACCGCTATGTAGAACCCTTATGCAATCAGATGCAAAGTATAATTAAAGTCATTTGACTATGA